CTACGGGTACCTCCTAATACACGCGCGTAATGTAATACGCAGTAGTAACCTTCTTCTTCTCCGGAGAGATTGGCGTGGATGTGATAGGGGCACCCATAAGTAAAGTCGTTTTGTATTCTGTACAGAGTTTTATTTTTTTTTTATAAATCATTGCCATCCAAGTGGCAATTAAATTTTTAAAGAATTTGAAATTTGGAAGAAACGACGTTACTCAGCTACGGGTACCTCCTAATACACGCGCATACGTACGTGTAACGATCACGCGAGTGTTCGAGAGTTGCGTCGATGGAATTCGCCGCGACTCACGAGAGAGTCATTGCTTTCGCGGAAGCGTTCCCGCTTCTGGTTCGGAAGCCAGCACGGTTCAGCACGCGTTATTTCTCGGATACGTGGGAAAGTCGAGGCTTTCGCTTAATACGGTGGATCGCGTGCACCTCGCGCGGAGCCTCGTTCGGGGCTGCGCGCGAGGTCAAACGTGTATGCTCGAACACGAGCATGCGAGGACACGACGAAAGTATGCGATCGCACGTAGAAAGGAATATCGTAGAAAGCAGCTGACCATGGGACCGATGATTATCCGAGTTAAACGGTCGGTCGATTGCCCATATACACGGTGTCCCTGCTTTTTCTCTCTCTTCGATTCAGTTTATACATGCAACTTTGCCCCGGTATAGTCTACGAGTGAAAATAAAAAGAATGGAAAAAGTCACGTACACTGAAAAACTTTGAAGTGGCAGTCGATGATGTTTATCTAGTAGTTTAACAGTTCATTTTTATGAATGCAGGCTTGACATCTGTCGAGAAATTGAATTTCTATTTTCTATTTTAATTTGAAGCTGATTTAAAGTTTCCATTTCATTGATCGCAAGTCCTTCCAGTGTATCCAATTAATTTATCCAATTTGCTGCGACAAGGGCCAAAGAATTCCCAACTCGAAGCGAAAACTTATCATTTCGAATTCTCGTTTATAGTACTTTAACGCAACGGCATAAAATTCCTGAGAAATTTCAGAGATATTAAAGTGAAAAGACTTTAGGCAGGCTTTACGATAACAATAACTCGCACAAACTTTCATCTATACGTTTTACAAAATATTTCAAATGTGCGTATTTAAATTAACTCTCTAAAAATGTCTCTCGTGTCTATAAAACTTCGAATCAAAAATTATGAGTTGCTCGTTTCAACTTTGATGAGAAATTTTTGACGCATCTTTGTATGAGATTTTCTTCTTATTTTCATTCGTAGAATCTACATACACTATAATTACATGTATATATGATATATGAAATATATTTTATATACATCTAATATAATTGTATAATATAATTTAATATAATTATATTATATTATACTACATGTATATAATATAATATGTTCTTATTTTCATTCGTAGAATCTACACACACATTATTATATGTATGTATGGTATGTAGGTATATTTCGCGCGAAACGAGTGAAATGGCGAGATTTGATTGGCGAGATATCGGTGGTAGAGCAATGGATCTGGGATCGGCAAGTTTTCACGAGGATTTTAGCTGGTTCGGTCTGCTTTTCCGGTATTTCCTTTACCCCCGACCGTTCTAATTTCGTGGCCGACACGTGCCCGGATAGAAACAGATGTACCACACGGCAGCGTCGTATAAATACATCGGTGCTCTAACTGGTCGGCTAACTGGGCGGCCCTCGGCGAGGCACAGAGTCGACACACAGCCGTGCCTTTGAATCGATATAGAGTTACCGATACGGCTGGCGCCAGCGTGACTGCGCGATTCCAGCAGCCACTATGTACGTACTTGCCTCGGACCGTGTGTCGCAAGCAGCAGAAGACTCTCTCTCAACCCTCTCTGCCCTCTCTCGAACTCCGTCTGCTGCCATTTCATTCTTTCTTTCCCGTCCCGACTTCGTCGTTCCATCCCATCCGATTCCCATTCCCCTTTCTATTCTTCTCTTTTCGTTCTCTTCTCTTCTCTCCTCTCCTCTCCGGCTAACGCGTTCTCGCAATACCGAGCAGAGTCACCGCGCTCACGATCGATTTCCAATTCAACGACTACGTTTCGCTTCTGCCCGCCGTTGGAAAAATTCCAATGTCGGCTGCGGTTTACGCAGTGAGAGAGCCTCGATCAGTTCTTTTGACGTTTTGGTCTACGCACTCTCTGTCCTCCGAAAGCGAGCGACTCGACGCGTTTTCCATCTACCGTGCGTCGAGTATCTCGTCGACTGTACAGGAAGGTACATTCGATTTGTCTGAAAAGAAATTCTGTCGAAAAAATCTATTACGCGGCTAAGACGGCCAATCGTCGACGATGGAGATTAGGCTATCGATCGAGAAATAGAGACTTCCAAGAATTCCACGCTCTTATTAAACACACACTGTATATAATTTCTTTTCCTTCGTGAAGACGAGCTGCGTGAAGATCGTTCGCGAATTCCTCTGGAAGGAGGAGCGAGCGAGCGACAGCACGACGAAGGAAGGTGAATATTGCGCGCAGATGTGCGAGCGACCTTATCGCGGGTCTTGATTGGTTTCAGAATGGAACGAAGCGTGCTGTTCGAGCGAGCGCGTGCACGGCTCGCCTTCGATAACTTTGGTGGAGTTTTTTCTTGGCGCGAGCTGCAAACGGGAGGCGCTATAAAATTGCGTACACCGCGAACGAGCAGGTGATCGTGTCGTCGGTAACGACCGCGCTCCACTCGCCTTCGTGCGCGCGTGTACGTCAGGTGTAGAGTCGCAACGCGTCGTGAAATTCATCTCGATCGCGGCGCGCTATCAGGAAGAAGAAGGAACTCACATTCTTTTTTTTTTGTTCGATCGAATGAATTCACTGAACAATTAGATGAAAAGCATCTGATGTGATTGATGACCGGTCTAGTTGTAAGTACGGCTTATCTTACTTACGATGTACGCTCGTCGAGGTCCAGCGACAGCAGTTTGAATTCGATTCGAAGCGTCGGTGTTATCATCTGAAAGGATCGGG